CAAGCTACAGTCATCTATTCTGGGCAGTTGTATAGACTGTTATTCATAGATCTCTATACATAATCTTGCCTTTCTAAAATCTAGATATTTACATAATAGCCAAATGATATTATAAAAATGTAAATCAGACTGTATGTCTTGATTCTTTAAATCCTTTCAATAACTACATTGCACATAGACTATAAATTCCTTACCCTGATTTATAAGGCCTTATATAATCTGACCTCTCTTCCCCCCACAAACCTCATTCATAATATTTATTTATACTTAACCTTACTGTGGTCATAATTACCTTGTTTACCATAACTACCTGGGGCCATAATCTTTTTTTAAATAAAAAAATGTACATGCATCAACACATTAAAATATTTTTAAAATTTACATGTAGCTTGTGTAAGACCTAAAAATGCACAACTTCTAGAAGAATAGGAAAAAATGTATAGTCTTGGATTGGACCAAGATTGCTTAAAGAGCATACAAAAGGGAGAGATCCATGCAAAAATTGGTAACCGTAGCTTCAAAATACAACATTAAGAAAATGAAAAACTAACATCCTTGTTTTTAGTCATTGAGGAATGTGGCCATAATTCTTAATAGTATCAAATATGCTTTTGCTTCAGTGTCTTTGAACATGTTTTTGGTCTGGAATTCTTCCTCCGTAAATATTCCCATAGGATTTCTTTTCACTACAGTGTTGGGTTAAATTCTACACTCCCATATCTTCCCTGGCCATTACCTTGCCTCATACGGGTCATTCTCACATCACCTCTTGTAGTGTCTTTATAATACTTAGTACTATGTGAAATGATCTTTTGGTCTTTGATTTCTTTCTCCCTCATTAACTGTTTACTTTTCTATTCCAGTGCTTAAACAGTGGCAGTCACAGAGCAGGTTTTTAATAAAATTTAAATGAATGAACCTATTACAGATTTGAGATTCATAAGTGTGTAAATGGGAATCGATGAGAATGGATATGATTAAAATAAAACTGTCTAGAGCAGTAGCTGTATATGAGAATTAGGAAAATTTTTGAAAATACAAGGATGTCTTGGTTTTACTCCAAAAAAAATTGAGACCTGAGCATTTAAAAAACTAGGTGATTGTAGTTATGGGAGACTGTGTAGAAAGAGGAACTTTGCCTTGAACCCTAAGATATACACTTTGAAAAAGGAGAAGAGAATTCGGAAACAGACTGGGGATAACTAGCAAGGTATGGTCAATAGAACCCAAGGAAAGAGTGAGAACCTAAAGGTGTCAAGTGCTCAAGCCAGGCCAAGTCATGTGAAGGATAGAAAGCCTTAATTACATTTAGCAGTATGAAAGTTGCAAATTATTTTAGAGAGATTCTCATCTTTAGTACTATTGACATTTTTGGTTAGGTAGATCCTTCTTGTGGAGGCTGCCATATGTATCATAGGAAGTTTAGCAGCATCCTTGACCTCTACCTACTAGATGTCAGTAGCAGCCCCTGCCTCCTAAGTTGTGAAAACCAATTTGTCTTCAGACATTGCCAGATGTCCCCTGGCGGGGGTGGGGGTGGGGGTTGCAAAATCACCCTTTATTGAAAACCACTGCCTTAGTAAAAGCAATTTGGGGAGAGAATTGAATTCTGAATCCAAACTAAAATGAGATGAATAATAGAAATTAGAGAAATGGAGACAGGTAATGTGGACAACTAAGAGTGGTTAGAGGTGGGGTGATATGAGAGGAGGTAGCAGCTAGATAGGAATAGGGGCTGGTGAAAAATTATTCTTAAGATGGGTGAGAATGGAAGGAAGTGGAGATAATCGGCATTCAAACTCCTTGAAGGAGTAGCGTCTACAACCATGGCAGAGCGTTTACCTTAGAAGAGAATGTATTTTCCATTGTAATTAGAGGTGGGGATAGGTTCAGATGATGATAATAATAACAAATGACTAACATTTATTAGGAATTTACTCTGTGCCTCTCACTGCTCTAAGTAGTTTATGTCTTATTAATTTATTTAATTCAACAATGTTATGAGGCCAGAAGGTGTAGGATACATTTCACAGAAGAAGTAGATACTATAAATGATTTGGATTGTTATTAGAAAGGGACTTTCCAGAGGGTGCAGTGAGGAACAGAGGCACTAAAAAGTGAAGCAACTTGCCCAAGATCAAATATCCAGTAAATAACAGCTAATTTCTAATCCATGCATCTGGCTTTACAACCTTGTCCTTTTTACTCTATACATAAGGATGTTTATAGCTGAGGTGGCAGGAATTTGAGGTAATTCCATCTGATGTCCGTTCCCCCGCCCCCTTCTGATGACAAAGTACAATGGTCTGCTAAAAGTCTGAGGGAAGTGATATGGAAAGTTTGAAGAGACTATAAGAGATATGAGGATAGAAAGAAGGCTTGAAGTAACCAGTGGGAAATGGGGAAATGTTATAGCTAGGAACCCATGAAATTGCTAGGTAACTTAAAGCAGGAGGGAAGTATGTGGCGGTACCATTCTGTACGGATATGTAATTTTTCTCCAGCTTTGAAAAGCAGTGTACGGGTTTTACTGGTCAGAGTTGCTGGGATCAGAATGGTTGATGAGTGGGGTTCAGGCAGAGTAGGAGGAAAAAAAGTAAGTGAAAGTAGTAAGATTGTCAAGACCTTAATGTTATATGATATTCCAAGAATTTATAGTAGGTATAGTAAGAGTAGGTATAATAAGAACTGGACAGATTGAAGGTTTGGATCAAGAAGAGTAGGGTGTTTAAAATTTGGGAGATTAAGCAATTTCTGAGGATGACAAGGTAGGTGTGGCTATGGAAGTGGCTGAAGTGAATGAAAAGGAAAAGTCCTTGTCATTGAGATCAAGGGCTGAGGGGCTTGTTCAGAGGAATGGCATTAGGAGATGCCAAGATTGAGGTCAGGCAATGAAAGAGGAAATGGGTAAGTGGACCAGAGGATGGTATAGTTGGTTGGAGGGTAGGCCCTTCAGAGAAGCACTGATTTTCAGATTAAGGTAAAGGATACTGGTGACATTGAAAAAATGTAAAAAAATGGAACATCATCTGAGATTTCAGGAAGAAGCCTGGTCAAGAGAACAAGATATCAGGTACAGCAAAGAGATGAGAATATTTGAGAAAGAGGGATATGGAGGTGTAGATGCCTCCAGGTGGCCATCAGAGGGAGCATTTGAGACAGGATAGAGAAGAAGGCTGGAGTGGGTTTAACATTTTGTATGGTGTGTAAGGATTAGTCTCAGTAGATCTTAATGGTTGAAATTGGGTATCTTTGGACTCCTAAAGAAGGGGACATTGCTTGAATTAAGTTTGCTTCTAAGGTTTTTTTTTTTTTTTTTTTTTTAGGTGAGTACTGGGGATTGAACTCAGGGGCACTTACTACTGAGCCACATCCCCATTCCTATTTTGTATTTTATTTAGAGACAGGGTCTCACTGAGTTGCTTTGCCCCTCGCCGTTGCTGAGGTTGACTTTGAACTTGTGATCCTCCTGTCTCAGCCTCCTGAGCCACTGAGATTACAAGTGTGTGCCACTGTTCCCAGCTCCAAGTGTTTTTGATCTAGGTAACTTTGGTACTGGGAAGGCTCTGGAACATTTGTGATGAACCAAATAGCCAATGTTTTGTGAAGTGGTTTATGTTCACTCTTGTCTAAAGTCTTATGGTGAGGATTGGTAAAATTAGGATTTTGGTGCTTCTGGCCAGAGACTGGTATCTGGCTGAGTGGTAAGACCTCCTAAAGATACCCACAAATGCAGAGGAAAGATTAGAGACATCTAAGGAGGATTTTGCAGACATTGAGACCCTGTAACATGGTTAATAAGGCCATGGATTCACCTATAGCCTGTTGAGGCTGAGACAAGTTTATTAAACTACAGGGTAGGCAAGACAGGAAGACTTCTCTATCTTTGGACTTTGTGCTGCTCTATTAGAGGGGTCCCCAGGCAGTGCTGCTTATACTCCAGAATAGCAAAACCACACTTTGAGTTTTTACTTAAAACCCCGAGGCAAGACACGAATCTAGTAGTGGTGGGGCAGATTGGGAGATAAAGCTGAACAACATAATATACTAAATTCAGAATAACCGTTTGATCTTCTCTAGAGACTGGGATGTTGTAAAGTGGAAGAGAGCACTCATTTGACCTCTGCTTGGCGAGAAGAACTTGATCTCCTATGAGATCATTTCATTACGATTGGGGAGTAACAGGAGTTACAGGAGATAGGCTCATGTGACACCACTGAAGAAAGAAAAGGAAGTTCATATTTGAGTGTTTACCATGTAATGCCAGGCACTGTTAGTCTTTATATTAATCTTCATGGGTGTTCTCTAAGGTAATAGGCATGATTTTCTTCAATTTATAGGTGGCAAAACTGTATCAGAAATGTTAAATAACTCTTCCAAAGTCAAAGATCTATTAAGTCATGGGCCTTAGGATTAAATTTCAGATTTGTCTAACTTCAAAGTCTGGACTTTCCCTTCTTGAAAGGGGTGGTGGCTTGTTGGGACTGATGTTGGTCCTTTTGGCAAAGGAAAACTGAAACTAGTAGAAATAAGGGGAAAACTAAATCTGTTTTACAGAGTAAATAGGGTCTCGAAGAGAATGACTCTGAGGTCAATAAAAACTAGCAATGTACTTAGCAAGTAGGTGCTGCAAAAAGATTGGTTGACGCTGATTAAAGCTTAAGTATGTCCTAGACACCTTAGTGGGTTAGGGTCAGGGGAGTTAGAAAGAAGAAATGGTCCAAGAACTAAGCCTCCTAGCATTTTCTCCTACATTTTCCTCAGCATCCCTCTTTAGGCAGACACTCAATTCTCTAGCTTTATCATCAAACAGACAAGGACTTGGTTTAGGGAGGTAGGCTGGCCCAGAGAAGTTGTGGCTCTGACCTTCCCTCTTTCCTCGATGAAAGGACATGTGATTGGCTACATGGAAAGAACCCCTTACCAAGAGTGAGAAGATGTATGTTCTATGCAACCTCTGATGAAGAAACAGCAATGGTGATTCAGAGAGATGTGGTAGGTATAGAGATATTCCTTTATTCAGGAAAGATGTATGGATTGTTTTCTTCAGGGAAGCACGGGAGTCATCCTCAGGGAGAGAATGGGGGTTAGGCCCAAAGAGCTAATCTATTTGGAGGATTGAGCAAGGATTCTCAACTGTTTCCTAATCCCTGGCTCCCAGGGGCCTGTGACCTCTGGCGTTTCTTTTTGTGGTTTAGGGAAACAGGGTGGAAAAGTGTGCAATTTTTTTTTCTGATCTGACTTGGAGATGGACTTGGCAATAAGCAAAGGGTTCAACTTAGCAAGTCGAAAATCTTGAATATTTAACTCTTCTGGCTTCTCAGGTTCCTTCCAGAATCCTGTAGGCTTTGTCTTCTCATTGGTCTTAGGTGCCTCATAGACATAGAAAACCTTGTTCTTCAGCATGTTTTGGATCCAGGGATCAGTTGAGGCACAAAGAATTAATGTTTCTTGTAGCTGCATTGAAACAAAAATTGACAGGGCTAGCTGAATTTGGACTCAGGTTGGAAGGGGAGGGATTACCCAGGAGAGGGGAAACTAGCCACAGGCCACTATGGCCTCAAGGACAATGTCTGAGAACTTACCCCCTTTGTGAGATTTGGAGGAAGGGGAGAAAAGATTAGAAAGTAGCAGGAATATCTTACACTTTTCTTCATAGCCTGGTTCTCTTCCGTGTCTAACATGTCCAAGAGCAAGTAGAACACTTGTGAACCACGGATCCCCAGGACGCCCTGGCAGAGGCAAAGTGAGACTGCCTAAATAGCCAGCCCTGGGAAGGTGCCCATTCCTCTTTCCCATTCTAGTCCCTCTGGGATGACCCTGTGTTCTAGAGAGAGGAGGAGATGATGTTTCCCAGCTGAGATAACCCCTTCTTTGCCTTTTGAGCCACTGCATAAGGTTCTAATTCCCATTATTAACGAGGAAGAGTTGAGACAATTTCTACAATATCCAGTAACACTCATCTCTTGTCCCTTATCCTATCCATCTCCAAACCTAAAGAAAAAGTTCTCATGAGAGAGGGTTAGGATTCTAAAATTAACCTCCCCAAACTTGAGAGCCATTTCTTTCCCTTCATGACTGCTCAATCACCCATGCCCCCTGCCCTCCACATATCTCAGGAATTGGGTCAGAGAAGCAGAGCCCACTTTACCAGAGAAATGACTGCTTCTTGGCGTGCAGCAGGATTTGGATCCATCAGTTGCCTGTGCAGAAGGGAGTAAAAATGTCCAATTAAGAGGGAGAATGGGAGGTAGTTTGGCTGCTTCTCAGGCCCAGAGTGAGTTGGGTCTAATGCTGATGTGTGATGCTAATTTAATTTCCCTCTCTCATTTCTCAGGTCAGAAAAGTCACTGGAAGAGGGAAAGTAGGTACGATAGTTTGCCACAAGGCACTTCCTATGATCAGGACTCACGTCTATCCAGGAATACTTTTTTTTAATATTTATTTTTCAGTTTTTGGTGGACACAACATCTTTATTTTTATGTGGTGCTGAGGATCAAACCCAGCGCCCCGTGCATGCCAGGCAAGCGCGTTACCGCTTGAGCCACATCCCCAGCCCCAGGAATACTTTTTAAAAGTTGCTTTTAAGTTACATTAATTTGAGCTTTACTGCAATCCTGAGTAGTATTATTGGCCTCTTCACAGATGAACAAAACTTCCAGGGTCAAAGTATGATTTAACCAGCAGCATAGGCAAGGTTCTCAGCCAAACCCTCAATTCCCTTTCCACAGCCTAGAATTTGTCTCTGGCAGCTCCCAGCCCAGGCCACTCACTCCTCCATCAAGTTCAGCATCATAGGCTTCATCTTGAGGTCTTCTATAGCTTCAGCCACAGCCTGCCTCACAGCCTGCAGAGGGATCAAAGTGGAACAGCAAAAAGAGGGAATGCAGGGTTGTGCACTAAGTACTGCACAAATCTTTATTGAACACTTCCACTTTGCTATGTACTGTCCCTGCCTTGAGTGCAGAGTCTGGTGAAGGAAGCAGACAAGCGAATAGGCAGTTGCAGTAATGCATAGGTGTACACGGAGGATGTGTGATTCAGTGTTGGGTACAAGGAAAATCTCCCCTGGAGGAGGAGGTGATGCCTCAGCTGAAACTTGAAGGGTAAGTGGGACTTAGCCAGAGCGGGGTGTTTGTGCAAAAGTCTGGAGGCCAGAAAAGTGCAGAGAGGACAGAGAGCTGAAAATAGTTCAGACCAGTGAGGTGGTCTGAGATTCTTCAGAGTAATTACACTGGGACATTACGTGGAAATCAGGACATGGTTGTTTATATGTCTCTGAGGGACATCCGGGTGAGAAATGAAGCTAGAGAGGTAGGCAGGGCTCCAGTTGTGGAACAAAGTAAGCCAGCGTGAGGGCACCAAGAAAAAGTTTTATGCAAAGCTGTGACAATGGGATCTACATTTTAGAAAAATGTTTACAGGAGTGCTGGCTCTGTAGCAAGTGATAGTATTGATAAAAAGTAAAAGAACATAGAAAATGGCAAGGTTGAATTTAGTGATTTGGGAAAGCTTCCCGTAGGAGGTGTCATTTGGAAAGGTCTTGGAAAGAGCAACAGCATTTTAATAGGTGGAAGAGAATGGAGTTTATAGTATGAGGCAAGATTTTTTTTTTTTTTTTAAACCTTGCTTCTCTAAGTAAGGGAGGGATGATTCAGGGCACTTTGAGCTGCGGATTGTCTTAGTGAAAGACAAGGTGGTTTGAAAACATGGTGGTGTTAGGGGAACAGAGTGGGTTAAGATGAGTGGGGCTGGTGTGGAAGCTAAGGTCTGCAGAGAAGGGAGAGGAGACAGGTTTGGGCAACCTGGGCTTGGGAGCTGTGATCTCACATGGAAGGGTTCATTATGTGTCTTCCTCTTGAGCAGGTCAAATGTGATTTCCTCTAGTCCATGTGCCTGGATCTTTTCCAACCCAATGATTCTGAGCATCTGGATAGCTTCAAAGCGGTCCTGAGGGCAGGGGTGGGGAGGTATGGAAGATAGGTCCCACTTCTCATCATCCCACCCTGTCCAAATGCTGAGGAAAGAAGAGTAGAGGGCAGCCCAGAGCTCACCTCAAGGATAACAGCAGAACATAGCTGGTCCAGAATGGCCGTGATGACTGCCGCTGAGTGGACATGCATCACCTTGACCAGCATCCTAAGTGCCTGTGAGGGGTGAGGTGGGGCAGGGTATCCAAGTGTATACCTACAAGTATATGAATGGCCAGATGGATTTGGGGGCTCAGCCTAGAGCTGGTGGGGAACAGGTCTGTTCCTTCTGTCTCTTTACCTCTTGAGTGAAAACACAAGTTCGTGTTTACACTTAGTGCACATATACATAAATGAGCTCTCATACATATCAAATATACAAAGATGTGCACATTTATATGTCCACATAATCCTATACTTAAGCAAAAAATATCTTCATAAACACACACAGGCCCCTTCTGTGCTTCCAGCCAAAGCATATTTTCTTGGGATGAGTATGACAGGACCCAACACCACCCAAGTAAGTAGTGGTCTCTCTTTCCCCAGTGCTCCCTAGAGTCCAGCCTCCTTCCTTTCACACCTTCATCTGTTGGGTCTTGGGCCTTTGGCCCACGCACTCCAGCAAAAACTCTTGGGCCATTTGGCTGCAAGGTCTCAGGAAACCTAAGCACAAGGCTGCCTCCAGGGCTGCTTCATGTGATGAATTCTTTATCACTGTCTGCAGCACATCCACTAGAGTTTCTTCATCTCCGATTTGAATCCTCTGAAAAGGAGATAGTAGTTGAAATGGACAGTTGGAGATGCTATGTCTTCAGTCAGGCTTCATGCTTTATAAAAGGGCTTATTCAAACCATTCTCCTTTCTCTCTAAAATGAATTTCATGCCACTACATTATTTCATCCACTTCACCTTATTTTTGCTTCCACGTAATTGCTTTTAGGTCATATCTCCTGATTTCTTCCTGACTTTATCTTGTAGAAGGAATGACTGTTACTTCTTTAATACTTCAGCTATCTTAATTCCTGGTATTTAAAAAAATACATACATGTAATTGATCTAATGGCTCTCCTCCAATAACCTCCTCCCTCTTCCTCAGCCAATCATACCACAGAGAAACTTAATTATCACCTGTCCCAGCAACTTCTCCATCATCTCCATTTCATGGATACCACTCTCTGAGCATCACCTCCTGTTTTTCCAGCTCACTTCCCAATGCCAACCATGGTTTGGTTCCACAAAGGACTAATGATCCCCTGAGGCTGCCACCTTTTCATTGCTCCTCCTCTTCCCTCTACCCAGCTTGAATTCCATGGTTCTGCTACAGTCATTACCCTGACTCACCCTCAACTTCTTTACCCACTCTTGTTTCATTATACTCCCTTGACAGAACCTTGATGCTAGTTACATCCAGCTCCTCACTTACTCTGTGTCTGCACTTTCTGGAGAAAAATAGTCATGATTCATCTTGCTACATGTGTGAGCACAAACCTTAGGTAGATCTATTTTTAAAAAATCAATAATTATAGTTTTTCTTAAGGCAATTCTCTTTTCCTTTATTTTAATTCACACTTTTTCCTCTGGAGCCTCTAACATTTTTCCTCTATTTCACTCTCAGCTGATGGCTCTGCTTCCTACTTCACTAAGAAAATAAAAGCATCTAGAAAGGGAGTTCCAAATATACCTACCACCACCTCCATCTCACTTCCTCTTTCTTTCTGCTCTTTGCTATGAACTATACCAGATCTCATCCCCTCTCACCCACTCAAAGACACAGCTGCAACAACTCTTCTCACTCTCTTCAAAATCATTTCCTAATTAATGGATCATTATCCTCAGCATTGAGACTTACCACATTTCTTTCTGCCCAATCTCTCTTAAATCCACTGTAATCAGTCATTTACCACTATCGCACCATGAAAATGATTCAGTTAAGACAATCAGTGATGCCCACATTGTTATATTCACATATCAATCCTCAGTGCTTACATGTCCTGATAAGGTTCTTCCTTGACATATGTTCTTTCACTTGATTTTCAGAATTCCACCCTTTGGGTTTGTCATCCAACTTCATTGGGTATTTCTCAATAGTTACTGATTCCTTCTTCTTTTCTCTGACCTCATAACATTGGAATGCTCCAAACTGGAGTTTTGGTCTTAAAAATCTCATGTAGTTTAGTGATGTTGAGTGCCATCTGTATGCTTACAAATCCCAACTTCCTTCTCTAGTAGTTCAGACTTCTCTCCCAAACTCCAAATTATACTTATCCAATCATTTACTTGCCATCTTCCTTGGAGCTACCAAAAGTCATCTCAAACTGGACTTTGGCTGTTACCTCCAGACCTGTTGTCTGGGAATTCCCTTAACCTTAATTGATGGCAATTTTGTCACTTTAGTTACTAGGCCCCAAATCTTGGCTTTACCCTGATTTCCTCACTGGAGCTCATGTCCAGTCCAACAGAGTTTTACTTACATCTTGAACTTCATCATTTCTTAATAACTCCACTGTGACTACCATGGTCCAAGCCACCATTATATCTTACCAGGATTGTTTCAGTTTCAGTCAGAGTAAACCTTTTAAAACGTAAATTAGATCTTGTTACAGCTCTGCTCAAAAACCTCCCAAGTACTTAAATTAGCCCAAAAGCCCACAGACAGTCTAGCCTCCTGTTTTAACTTCTCTGACCTGAACTTCTCTTCCTATTGCCCTCTGAATTCCTATTTCAATTCTGCCCCACTAGCCTTGCTGATCCCAGACCTCAGCAAATACACTCCTGTCTTCACCTACTGGCCCTCTTATGTTCAGCATGCCTTCCCTCAGATACCTGTAAGGCTAACTCCCTTACCTTTTTCATGTCTTTGTTCAAATGGACATTCTAAAGGAGACCTTCCAAAGGAGACCTTCCCTATTATGTTTAAATTTCATCCCATCTCCATCTCTGTTTGACATTCCTGGTGACCCTCCCCCTGTTATATAATTTTTTTCCATTGCACTTGTCACCTGACATACTATGTAATTTTCTAAGTTTTTTGGTTATTGTATGTCTCCCTCCATTAGAGTGTAAGCTCCACAAGAGCAGGGATCCTATTTGGTTTGCTGATGTATATTAAGGGCCTATGTTAGTGCCTGGCATATGGAAACTATGTAATATATATTTGCTCAATAAATGGATGAATGAAGGATTTTCTTTCATATGAAGCAGTGGTAGAGTCAAAGGAAGAGGACTCTAAAAGGAGGTGGCGAGGGGACAAAAACAAACTGAGAGAAGTGTCAAGAGAACTCAGTTGGGTTCTTGTCCCCTATGGACAGAGGTTTTGCTCTAATAGGTTTTTTTTAAAAAAAAAAAAAAAGGGTAACAATTAAAAGTTGCCTTTTTTTTTTGAGAGCATTATAATTAGTACATAACTATATAACTAAATAACTACATAGTAGTTCCATAGTCCTTTAAATTTTTTTATTTTTATTTTGAGACAGGGTCTTGTTAAATTGCTAAGGCTGGCCTTGAACTTGGGATCCTCCTGCCTCAGGCTCCAGAGTCGCTGGGATTACAAGTGGGCACCACCACAACTGGCTTGGTGGTTAACCATTTAAAGAACACAGGCATTATAATAGGCATGATATGTTATGTCACGTAATCTTTCCAACAATGCCACAAGATAATAACTATCTCCATTTTAAAGATGAACAAACTGTGGCTCTGAAAGCTGGCTTTTCAGAGGTTGTCTGATTGGCAAGTGGACAAGCCATATGCTTCTGTTCAGCTCTAGAGGGGACTCCTCAAGCACAATGCTTTATTAATCTGAAGGGTAGGTCACCTTCCTGTCCCAAACCCCAGCCAAACGGGTCATTTACCTTGACCTGCTCTGCACCAGTTACAGACTCTCCTCCCAATCACCTTGTCTTTAGGGACGGCAGCCCAGGAGTTCAGAGCTGCTCGTAGGCCCATCAGCGTCTCCATCCTTCGACCCTCATTTTTCCCCTTCAACTCTTTGATGAAAGCCTGGATCACATGCTTATTCAAACAACCTGGACGGGGAGGGTTCTCAAGTCAGGGCAGAACTGCCAGGACCGCTCCTCTTTCAAGGACCCATTGAACTCCCCTGTATTCTCTACACAGATGTTCCCGCTACTGGGTTTCAAGGTGCTGCCCATTTTCCCAGGACACCTGAGCAGCTGTCCGAGCATGAACACAGTTCCAGAAGCTCTCCTTTTCCTCTTCAATCCATTCTCCCTTTTCCCTCCACCTTCCTCTCTCTGCTCAACAGCACCTAGGATAGTTTCCAGACCCTGCCAAATGCTAGGTTGGAGAGGGTGCACACTCCACTCCCTTCTGCCCTTACCCAAAGAGAAAGTGGCTGCACTTTTGCACCTCCCCCAGCCCCCTGCCCAGGGAGAGATCAGACTCACCTAGGATGGCCAGGGTTCGATAGGCCTCATACTTCACTTTCTTTTTACCAGAGTGGGCCTGATTTAAGAAAGAGGTGATGGAAACAGCATCAAGTGATGGAATGTCAGACTTTAGGGATCATGTCAGTTTAACTTCTCAATTTTACCAAAGAAGAAACAGACCTAGAGAGTGACCTGTGTGTGCTGAAATAGGGCTCAGACAGAATGGTGCAATGCAAGGAACCCTGAACTCGTGAGTTAGACTTTTATTCAGATCTCTATCTGGTATCTAGCAGCCGCTTGGCTTTCACTAAAAACCCTTGGATTCTTAGAGCTTTTACTTTCTTATTAGAAAGTTAGATACTAAAAACTATTCCTAATGTTGTAGAATTTAAATGAGATTATGGATTAGAACACTTGCTCCTAGGTGTAAATTGATGCAGGCCTGGAGTATTGTTTCAGTTAAGGTAGAGAATGAGCTCAGCCCCAGTTCTTGGCTTTTCAGTGTACCATCTTTTCTGTTAGACCAAGGAGGTTAGATTTCCCCTTTCTTCAAGCTGCTCTTTAAGGAACTAAGGGCATGGTAACTCTTTCCCCACTGGATGTGACCTATCAGTCTGGCACCCTGGGGAGTCTTGTTTTGTGTCTGTGTGCATACACTCTGTACATTTCAGACCCTGTTTCCTCCCTTTTTGAACTCCATGTAGCCCCAAGACTCACCACCTGCCATAGTGCCTCCATGACAAACTTGTCTCTGCTGCCCAGGCACCCCAGAGCCTGCAGAAAGAGGTTGGAGGAAAGGGAAGAGAGCTTGGCCACCACCTCCCAGAGTTCCTGTCTTTTGGACACAGCTGGAATTTACACTTGGAACACTACCTCCAAACCCACCATTCACCTCCAGCTGCTTTTGGCTTTCCAGCTCAGCCAAGTTCTACCCGAAACAACCCTCCTCCACCCTTGCCACTCCTCACATGTGCTGCATAGAACTGCTCATCCTCTCTCGGAGATTTCAGCATTTCTGTAAGTTCCTGCCCATCCAAGCCAGGCAGTGGAAAGGAAGAAAGAGAAAGATAAAGAACTTCTAATGAAAGGAGTTCAACCAATCTCCCCTCAAATCCCCCTCTATCCTCTGCACAAGCAGGCAAGGACTGAGCACTAAAGGATTGTGTGAGCCCAAAGTAGAAGCACCCACCAGGAGGGAGTCTTCCCATTCTCCTTCCCACAAGGGTCCTAACCTTTAATCTTTGCCACTTCTGGGGGTCAATGATAGGTTCGAAGGGTCTGGATCCCACCTGGTATCTTGTAGCCAACTTACTCATGGGGGGATAGTAGTTTGGGATGTGGGTGTCCTCTTTGAGATACCTGTATGAGAAATTGCACAAGCATCCTTGGTTTCCTTGCTCTTTCCTCAAGTCACAACCCCACCTCTGCCACAGGGACTCAGTCCAGCTCAGAGTTCAGACCAGAGAAAGACAGTGATATCTACCCCAGGTCCTCTCTGGGACCTGTAGGCAGATTTGCTGCCTCCTGACCCCCAGGCCTTCCCTATTTTTGCCCTTCTTCTCTTTCCTAGATGTGGAAAGTACAAAAAACACCCCACACCTAGCGTTGTCTCTCATTTTCCGTAACATCTTCTCGTTCTCCCGCTCCTTTCGCCGGTCATACACGGTGAGCCAGTGTGTGTACATCTCAAACTTCTTGGAGTAGCAGGAAGGAACTAAGTTCAGCTTGCCCCGGTGCTGCCTCCAGCACTCCGGTTTTAGGGGAAACTCTTCCTTTGGTGACTGAAAGGTGTGAGTGGCAGAGTAGTCAGAGGGCCCCCCCCCAGACTTTTACTTGAGTTCTGGGGTCTGGGAAGGGGAGAGTAGAGGAGAAGAGGGTGGGGTGAGAGAGACACCCTCTAGTCTCCCACCTGGGCTGGAGTTACAGCTATCTCCTAACCCGCTTCATGACTTAGGCAAGTTATTTCACCTTGCCAAGGTCTCAGACCTCTCATGTATAAAATGGAGCTAATAATCCTTGTTCTTCTGTTCCCCTCTTGAGGTTGTCTTGAAGAACAAAGAAGGACCAGTTTGCAAAGCAACCTATAAGTTGATCTGAATACAGTTTGGTTATTTGGGGATCTTAAAGCATTTTGAAAGGGTCATTTGGTTAGGGACATGAAAGGGCAAGAGTTGGGGTTGAGTGGATTAAAGGAGGGGAAAAGATAGACTACTGATCATTCAGATATTTCTTGAATATCTGCTATCTGCTAGGGATGCGGTTATCTTTCCTGCCTTCATGAACATAATAGGTTAGTTAGGAAAGCAGACTTTCTTCAGATAATCTAGCTCTTAACTTTGTGTGTGTGTGTGTGTGTGTGTGTGTGTGTGTGTGTACGGCACATGTTCCTGCAGTACTGGGATGGAGCCCAGGGCCTCATGCATGCCACACAGGTGCTCTTACCATTGAGCACACTCCCAGCTCTTAACCGTAACTCTAGCTCTATTGTAGTGGGGTTTTGGGGTGGGGCAAGGACTTTCTCCAAGGGTTTGTCTGGGATCCATCCTTGTCTCTTCTCAAGCCCTCCAATATTTACAACAGATCTCTCTGTGCAACAGGGAAAGGAAACTTCAGTCACAGGTTTTTAAATGATTGTTATGATTTCAGAAAATGGAGCACTGACTTATGGTGAGCAGGGTTTCCAAATTTAGCAAAGAATAAGCGAAACAAACAAAAGCAACAACAAAAACCCAAATGTCAAGCTCAAGTTCAACCTGGATTTCAGGTAATAAATGAAATATTTGGAAATTGTGAACATATTTATACTGAAAAACCATTAATTGTTTATCTGAAATTTAAACTTAACTGGGCATTTTGTATAAAAAAAATCCCCATGTTAACCAATAAAAAAGACTCCCATTAGTAAGCACTCCCTGCATAGCATGGGCCTTATAGATTTTGTGACTTAGCAACTCTACAACAGGTGTGCAGGGGCTGATCTGTGACAGAGGAAGCTCCTGAGGCTCAAAGAAGAAAGTGACTCATCTAAGAGTGTCAGGCTTCTGTGAACTGATTTGTATGGAAAGGAGTAGTTTGCTGTCCCTGTGCTTTGACACATCTCCTGGAGTAGCAAAAATTAGAGGTCTGGGGACTGGGGATGTGGCTCAAGCGGTAGCGCGCTCGCCTGGCATGCGTGCGGCCCGGGTTCGATCCTCAGCACCACATACCAACAAAGATGTTGTGTCTGCCAAGAACTTAAATAAATAAATAAATAAATATTTAAAAAAAAAATTAGAGGTCTTACCTGGTAGTAGGACAAGGGCAGCAGAACATGAGTCATGGCTTCTTTGAGTTCTGGCAAGAGGATAAGAGTGCATGGTAATAAGACAGCAGGTGCATTTGTTCATTAAGTACTTAGTGAATGCTAGCATCAGGTATTTTGCCAGATACCAGGAAGGTACGTAAGTAAGGCATAATTCCTGCCCTTAAGGGGGCTCACAGTCTTACTCTCATAGTACTGTGCTACTCAACATGTGGTCTGTGGAATGGCAGCAGTGCCAAAGCCTGGGAGCTTCTCATAATTGCTCAATCTCAGGTTCCACCTTAGACCTGCTGAGTCAGAATTTTCATTTTGACAAGATTCTAGGTGATTCCTATATAACTGAAATTTAAGAAACTAGCAGGGTATTCTTAATCTTGGCTGCATAGTAGAGTTATTTGGGGGGACTTTGAGTATAACTAGACCCTACATAAGTCTAACTGAATCAGATACTGTGGGAAAAGGGCCTAGGCATTTTAGGATGCTCCCCAGATGATTCAAATATTCAGTTAAGGGTAAAAACTATTGGCTCCTTCAGTTTTTCAAACAAATGTGTCGAGAATCACTTGGAGAGCTTTTTTTCAGACACAGATTTCTGGGACGTTTAGTATAATTTCTGGGACTCTTTGTCTCTGATTCACTGGATTTGGGGTGGGCTCTGATAATTGGCATTTCTAGTAAGATGATGATGCTGTTGCTCCTGGGACCACATTTTGAGAATGAAGGAAACAGAAATGTTTCTTAGTCATTAACAGAGAGAAACAAGTATGGAGACAGATATAGGTGATAAACCCACAGGCATCTCACCTAACCTGGCTGGGAGGATCTGGGAAGGTCTCCAGAGGAGATTTATACACAATCAGTCTTCATACAAGTAAGAGTTAGCCATATAGAGCAGGGGAAATAGCGTTAGAACACACAGGGAACACCTTATGTGGCGACTTGGAGGTGTGAGAGTTGGGGTGGAGAGCAGGGTGCAGATGTGGGAGCAGAAGCTGGGGAGACACACAGGTGTCCCAAATTAAGAGGATCCTGTAAATCCTGCTGCAGAGCTAGAGACTTACCTTGAGGGCTGTGGGGGAGCCATCAATATGTCCAGGGGCCTGCCTTGACCTTTCTAGTGGATTTGCTGAACTTAGTGCCCTGCCTGGAACTGGGAGCCAGGTAACCTTGCCTTTTCAGGCTCCTGTCCCTGACTCTATTCCTGTTCATTCCAGCCTCACCTTTGGTATAGTATGTATCCTTCAGCCGTGGGTACCTGAGCATTGACCTGGTGATTTCAGAGATATCAGCTGATTCTACATGGGCCATCTTCTTCTCCTGGTGGGGTTAGAGGCAACCTGGGGCAGTCGGAAATTCAGGGCTGTGGGGGAATGGTGGCACAACTGGAGAAGACCTATCCTCTGGAACAAGAAGGATCATTGAGGTGTTCAGATTTTGGAGGTAGAAGTTTCCAAGTGTTAGCAACCAGATCGCCTTGGTAAATAGAACCCTCAAGTTCCATTCTTGAGCCCCACTCCTGGCATCTATTGGCCTGTGGACTGAACTGGTTACTTGATCTACCTGAGCTTAACTTTCCTCATCTGAAAAGTGGAAAAGTTATGCTTGTCTGGTTAACTACCAGGTCTGTGGCGAGGCATAAATTAAAAAAGAAAATCAAAGTATTTGATGAACTGTTGGACTCAAGTAAGTCCACATTAGGGGCAGGGGTTGTTCTCAGGATATGCCATTAGGAAGATGTGGTGATGGACAACCCCTTTTATATTCACACTCCCCTTCTTGGTTGCAAGAGATAGTACCAGCAAGGCGTTGTGGTGCATACCTATAATCCCACTGACTGAGGAGACTGAGGAAGGAGATCTAAATTCAAGGCCAGCCTCAGCAACCAAGCGAGGCTCTAAGCAATTTAGTGAGACCCTGTCTCAAAAAATAAAAAGTCTGGGCATGTAACTTAGTGGTAAAGTGCCCCTGAGTTCAATCCCCAGTACAAAAAAAAAAAAAAAAGTGCTGAGGATGTGGTTCAGTGATAAAGTGGATTCATTCCCCAGTTTTCTGGTGATATTAAGTCTGATTAACAAACAAACAAGCAAAAAGAATATCAAAGATCTGTTTTTCCTGCCACCCACTTTTGCATATGCTGTTCCCACTACCTATCACTCCTTTCCCTTCCTTTTCTACCTGTTAAACTTGACTCAAATCTTTCGAATTCCATATAAACATTCCCTCATTTTAGCCAGGCATGATAACCTATGTCTATAATCCCAGGTACTTGGAAGGCTGAGGCAGGAGGATTCAAGGCCAAATTCAAGGGCAGCCTTGGCAACTTAAACCTGAGCGTAGGAACCGAGGCATTTAAAAATTAAAATTAGGAGCTGGGATTGTGACTCAATGGTAGAGCGCTCGTCTAGCACGTGCGAGTCCCTGGGTTTGATCCTCAGCACCACATAAAAATAAATAAACAAAACAAAGGTATTGTACTTCTAAAAAATAAATATTAAAAAAATAAATAAAAATTAAAAGGGCTGGGGACATAACTGAGTGATAGCATGCCTGTGGGTTGAATCCTCAGTACTAAAAAAAAAAAAGTAATCTCATCTCTGAAGTCTCCTCCCCTGGCTCCTGGCCCCACCCACTCAGTGATGTAATTCTTCCACCTAAGTGTCACCACAGCCTTTTGTACAGTTGCTTCTGTTTCTGTGTTTATCATATGTTTAATCTGTTCATAGTTCTCACTGGACTGCCAGCTGCCTAAAGGTGAAGATGGTGACTTGTGACTATGCACCTCTTTATTCTGGTCTCCCCACCCCACCCTCAGTGCCTACCACAGTGCCTGGCACACAGCAGGCAGCCCATTGTAGTAAGAGTACATGGGTCACCAAGCCATCAGACTTAATATCACCAGAAAACTGGCATGAAGTACTTTGATATAATATATTGAGAAAGACAGCATCGCCCATGGCATTCCTACCAAAAATGTTTTAACCTCAATCTAATTATGAGGAAATAATCAGGGAAGCCCAAATTAAGAAACATTCTACAAATATCTAATCTGGGACCGGGGGTATGGCTCAGTAGTAGAGTGCTTGCCTAGTACGCACAAGGCATTGAGTTCAATCCTTAGTACTGGGGAAAAAATCTGATGAGAACTAAAAACTATCAGTATCTTAAAAATGAAAATAATAGGGGGCTGGGGTGGTGGCTCAGTGATAGAGCACTTGCCTAGCATGTGTGAGGCACTGGGTTCGTTTCTCAGCACCACATAAACATAAATAAAATAAAGGTCCACTGACAACTAAAAAATATTTTTTAAAAATGAAAAAACTATGCTTAAAGACACCAAAAAAGACATGAAAGCTAAACCCACTGTGTACTTCATTGTACCCTGAGTTTTTTTCCATTAGTGCAATTTTCTTTTCAAAAATTTGTTCTTTCTAGTTATCATGACAGGAGAGTACACTTTGACAAATTTTTACAAACATGGAGATTATCTATTTCTAATTAGGATCCCAGTCTTGTGGTTGTACATGATGCGGCAATTCACTGTATTCATATGTGTACATGGGAAATTCATGTCAGATTCGTTCCGCTGTCTTTCCTATTCCTGTCCCTCTCCCTTCCCTTCATTCTCCTTTGTCTAATCCACTGAACTTCTATTCTTCCCGCTCCTTGTGGTGTGTTAGTGTTGGATCCTTAATCTTAAAAAATAGCTATAAACAGGGGCTGAGGTTGTGGCTCAGAGGTAGAGCACTCGCCTCGCATGTATGAGGCCCTGGGATTGATCCTTAGCACCACATAAAAATAAATAAATAAAATAAAGGTATTGTGTCCAACCATGACTAGAAAATAAATATTTTTAAAAAATAGCTATAAAGGACATTATTTGAGACAATAAGGGGAATCTGATGATGGATCCTATATTAGGAAATAGTATTGATGAGTCACTGATGAGTTTCCTGAGTGTGTTGCTCGTTTGGTGGTTATGTGAAATGTTCTTACTCTTAGGGTAAATACACTGAAACTTTTAGGGATGAAGTGACATCATCTCTGCAACTTTCAAATTGTCCTGAGGGAGAGAGGGCAGGGTAAGAAAATATAGTGAAATGTTAATATTTGAATCCAGATAAAGAACATATGAATGAATTCTTGCAAATTTCTGTAAGTTTGAAAATTTGCAATTTGAAGGTGAAAAACAAAACAACAATATGGTCTTTGACATTAGACTTTACTTTTTTTTTTTTTTTGGCTGTGGGGTTTTGTGGGCAAATCATTTCCTTCTCTTGCCATGGGTTTTCTTTACTGTAGACAGGGCTAATAATAATACCTACCCCATAAAAAGAATGATGAATATGTGAGGCTGAGCCCATGGTTGGCACATAGTGAGTGCTCAATTAATGTTACCTATATCTGTTGTCATTACATATTCATATGAAGGGACACATAGTTGGGAAGGTTGGAATAGTTCACTTTAGAGGTACTGGTGGAGTTGTAAAAACCACAAAATGCCCCTCATTCTCCTTATTTGAAAGACTGGAGACCTTCAGGATTGTCACTATCCTGTTCTAAGGGCAAGGGTCGTAAAGAAACCCACTGGGGATTAGGTAGAGGGTAGGCGAAGGTGGAAGGGCCAACCAAAGTTTGAGGAAACAGGGAGGTACTGTGACAGGGAGACGGATAAATTCTTGGGGCTTGGGGCTGGGAAATAGTGACTGTTGTCCTTCCTACCCAGTGGACAAGTCACTTGTTAGTTACTTTACCTGCTCTGTCTGCCAGTGCCCACTTCTGAGAGAGAGAGATAGAGAGCGAGAGAGCAAGAGAGCACTTTTGCTCCCAGCCCTGCTCGCTGGGTGGGGCCATGGCCCCCAAGGCTAGTGTGGGCATCAGGTAAGTTCAAGCCTGGACCCCTGTTGCTTAATGTACACCGGGGAAGAGGGTTCCCACTTAGGAAATCAATCCAGGAGCCAGTTTTGTAATTATACTGAAAAATTTTAATGAAAAGCTGATTTTTTTTTGTCAGATCAAGTGGTGTGATCCCAGTTACTCGGGAGACTGAGGTAGGAGGATCACAAGTTTGAGGCCAGTCTGGGTAACTTAGTGAGATCCTGTCTCTAAAATTAAAAGGGCTGGGGGTCTAGCTCAGTGGTAGAGTGCTTGCCTAGCATGTTCCATCTTTAGCACGGGGGGAGCTGGGGTGAGGGGTGGGGAGAAAGGAAAAGGAAAAAAAAATAGAAAAAAAATGGCTGATTTCTTATGTTTGATAGTTTCAGCCCTCCTGAGGGCCTGAGATGGCAACTTTGGCCATGGGAGATTTCTTCAGGATCCCCGTCTTCCTTCTTTCCTTGAGAAACATGCTGACTTCCTTCTCTAGTCATAGAACCACAGCCAAGCCAAGGGGCCTGACATTCAGAGCCTAGAGACTTCTTGTTGCTAAGGCAGGGCCTTAGTGAGGCTTCCAGGCTTAGGTCGGGAGCCTTTTCTAATTGCTGCTATGTGGTAGAACCTTCCCTCCAACAGGTGAATGGGAGTGGGGGACTGGGGAGAAGCTTCTCAAGGTGGTTAGGATGAGAGCAGGTAGCAACAGGCGAGTTTACACCAGCTGAAGTTCAAGGTGCCGCTTATCCTAGCTCATCTCCAAAGAGTTGATGTACTCCCGAACCCATTTCTTCTCTGGGTCGGCACACACCTGGCGGTTCCTTCGGGTAACAAAGCTGTGGGAGAGGAGAAGAGAGTGAGATCTTAGCACTGGGACAGCCAGATTAGGGGATGAGGTGGATTGAGACATAAAAGGAAATGGTGCTGGGACTAGGGTAGGTTCTTTTTGGAGTGCCATGAGGTGCTATTTCTTTTTAGGAGGCATTTCTTCCTCTGTTGGGTCTAAGGGCTCCAAGCCAGAAGCAAAGTCCTGTGCATTGTAACCCCCACCCAGGTACATGCAGCTTGTAATGCTAAGGGGACAGGGAGACTCCGGAGCCCAGGGTTGAACTGGCTAACTACTTGCTTTTTCTCTGCACTTCCCCTTCCCCAAGCCCTGTGCTGGGTTCACCATGCAGAGAGAAAAAAGATGTCCTCCAGGATGTGCTTAAGAAAAGTGCCTAAAGGAACACATGATTTGACTATAGACAACATAGTGTCTGGCACAGAGTAGACACTCAACAAATGAAACCAGGAATATATCTATGCACAGGTGGGTGAATGAAAGAAGGACATGAACTTGAGTTTTTGTTGCACTACTTAGTAGTTGGATCACTATGGACAAATCACTTAGGGTCTCTGGGCCTATTTGCTGACCTCTAAAATGTGGACAGAAATAATTCCTGCTTTGCACAATTGTCATGGATCTCAAATGAGATAATGAGTTTTGAAAAATACTATACAAAAATAGCATACATGTATAGGTAATGTTATTAGAGTTCTGTGAGACCTCTGCTATAGGGTGAATTGGAACAACGTGAGACCAAGGTCCTGGTC